AACTGGGGAGTCTTTGTGTTGAAATATTTGTCCTATGCAGTGAGAATCTATTCTCTTTTCCTACAAAGAGGCTCCTCAGCTTTTCCCTTTCTGAAGAAACATTCCTTTTCTGAGTTCATAAGCTTAGAAGAGTTGAGCTTCAGCAAGTTGTGGGTAGACCAAGGAGGAAGTGAAAATATTGAGGGAAAGTTTGGCTAGAATTACAAAAATATTATTCCACTCCGTGAGTTTTTGGTAACAGATGAGCTGGAGCAAAGGAAGGAGGCGGGAGGCAGGGCTGGGTAGTGGGCAGGAACAGGGAATGCTGTCTAGGTGATTGAAGGAACAAGTGAAGGTTGCCAGAGGGATGTTCTAGATTCTAAATCCTAGGGGTTGGGATTAGTCAAAGGTACACAGCAACCAGGGAAGACTAGGGATCACTAACCAGAACATGGGTAACAAGTCCCAAACAAAGCCAAATTCATAGGAGAAAAATTTTAAAAAAGAAATTTTTTAAGATCCTTGACACTTCCATCCAGAGTGGCATCTATGCCACCCTCCCCTTGAATCAGAGAAAACTTGGGACTGCTAGTTCAGCCGAGTAGCAGAAGTAACACTTCCTGACTTCTGTGGCCAGGTCACAAAGAGCCATGCCATTTCTGTCTGGGTTTTTTGAAACATTTGCTCTTGGGTTTGCTCCTTCTCAGAAGCGAGCCACCATGCTGGGAGAAACCCAAGCCACATGGAAAGGCCACGTGTGGGCACTTTGGTCAACGGTCCCTGCTGAGCCAAGTCTTTTGAGTCACGCAGCCCAGGCGCCAGATTTGTGAGTGAAGGAGCCTCCAAGTGATTCTAGCCCTCGGCCATTGAGTCACCACTGGTCCCTGGACTCTTCCCAGCTGAGGCCCCAGACATTATGGAGCAGAGAAAACACAAGCCATCCCAGCTATGCCCTGTCCAGATACCTGACCTATAGATTCTGGGAGCATAACAAAATGGTTTTTGTTTTACACCATGATTCAGGCCTGATTTTTTTATGCAGCAATAGATAAGTGGAATAGTCCAGAACCAGAAAGAAGAAAAACACCAGAAAAGTATTGTGCTCACTGGAGCTGCCTGTTGCTAGAATAGAAGGCTTGTCCAAGGGGGAAAAAATCAGCCTCCATGGCACAGTAAGAACTAACATTTACTGAATGTTAGTGTGTGACAGGCACAGATCCTTTGATATGTACTGATTCAGTTAGCCGCACACCGTGCTATGTAAGGAGTATTATTTACTGACATTTTACACATGAGGAAAAAGAAGCAAACTACGGTTAGGTATCTTGCCCCAAGTGACAAGGCTGTAAGTGGAGGGCAGTGAATTCAAACCTCGTCTATCTCTGGCATCCACGTTCTCAACCACATTAAAGAGTCTGGTATATGTGCCAGGACTTGTGTGGGTCCTGCAGAAAAATCTGCAAACCTAGAGAAGGTTCTATTAGCATTTTTGATAAAAGAAAAATAACCACTGGCCTTTTCCCTCAAGAAACTCTATTTAAAAGAAAAGAAAAACCAAGTTTGACAACTCATACCATTTCAAACACTATGACCAGATGCAGGTTGGGCTTTACAGCCACTAGGATATGTTGGCTAATAAGAGTCACTTTTTTATGAAGAAAAGACAACTCTGGCTTAAAATAAAACACTGTGGTATAAAAACAACTGGACAGAAAAATAACAACACAACCATCAAGCATGGAAAGATGTGTAATTAACATTTTCTCTCATTACCTTTAACTCAGCTCTCTGCAACGGGCACTTTTGCCCCTGTCATCTAGACAAGAAACTGAGACTCAAAAAGCAGAAAGTATTTGTCTAAAAAAAAAAAGTATTTGTCTAAGAAGGTATCACATATCCAAGAGCCTTAAAAAAGGATGAGAAAAGTACCTTTCTAACTCTCTTTTTCTATAGTGAATCAGCACAGACAACACGTTTGTAGTAGTTTCAACGCCTCTTGTATGATTTTCAATTTTGTGCAGTGTGTGTGTGTGTGTGTGTGTGTGTGTGTCTAACACTCTACACTCAGCAGTTCCTCATCTCAAACTGGATGTGATTACAGTTCAGCTGACAACCAAAGAAACAGTCAAGGCTGTTATTCAGCCTTTTATAATAATCCCCGTAAACAGATAAAAATCTGCCTGCAGGTTTCACTAGCCGAGGTAAGATTACATTTGCCAAGTTTGTGTGCTTCTTGTTATTACAAAAGAGCAACTCCATCTCATGAGGTTCATTTTGGAAATACACAAAGTCCTTAGACAGCTTTTAAGTTCTATTCTATGATTCTCATCTAAGCTGCAAAGGGGAATTTAATTTGTTTTTGCTTAAGCAGGGGTGAAAAAAAGGAAAAACTCATTGATTTAGATGATTTGACTAGGAAGGCCAGTAAGAAAGGGTGAAAATCCTGAAGTAATGTCACTGAAGCAAAGGATGAAGAAGAAGAGGAGGAGAACATGGAAGAGGAGAGAACGTTTCTTCCTTTGAATTGTACAGGATACAGTATATAGTATTTGCAAACATAACTATAATATAAGATCTCAAAATATAGACTTGAAATAAATTTCTTTCTTTTCCACACAGCAGTCCAGAGGCTGGTGGGGCAGCTCTGCCACAGTCATCAGAGCATCTACTCCTTCCTAGCCAGTAGAAAGTAAGGAACAGAGGGGTACTCACATCTGATTGTCCAGAATTGAATGACCTGGTCCCACTGAGTTGCTAGGAAGGCTGAAAAGAAAGGTACCCAGCAATGTGGTTATGAGCTGAGCTAAAATTCAGAGCATTATATTACTAAAAGGAAGAAGAACAACAGATATGGGGGACAGTTATCAGTTTATGCCATAGTCCAGGGGTTGGGAAACTATGGTCCAAATCGGGCTCACTGTACCTGTTCCTGAATAGCCTATGAGCTAAGATGGCTTTTACAAATGAATATTTACAATCAATCTGAGGCTAAAGAACACTAGCTTTGAACCCCAATTAAGCAAAATGTTACTCCTTCCCAAAAAAGGATTTTGTTCTTCTCATGCGTAAAACCATGTTGCAAAAATTGTACTCAATTATCATTATTACACTTTGAAACATTAATGTAAAATCTGTGGAAATTTGTTTTCTCTCTTCTCTTTCAAGAACCAACATAATATCCTTGATTTTTCCTGTTGGCTCACAAAGCACATAGTATTTACTACCTGGTTCTTTAGAGAAGAATTGGCTGACCACTGCCAGAGTCTGAGCTGGACTAATTTGGTGACACTCTCACAAAGTATGGAGAGAAGAATGGCCTGTGAGTGGTGTAGCAACACAGAAGCCCATGATCCCAAGGAGTCTGGCCTGGGTTTCTTAATCATAGTAAAACTTCTTTAACCAAGTTATGAATCCAGAGACTTCTGTTAGCTAAAGCCCAGTGGGAAATAGGAAATAGGAGGAAAAAGTCTCTGCACAGCCACAATCAAAGCAGGAAAGCTGATGTGCTGCACATAAGAGTGCCTGAGCTTCATCCACAAACAAGACATTTCCCTCACACAAAACACAATTCTGTTAACTGCCAATGACTTAACTGGGTTAGCTGTTCTCCAAACCCACAGCAGGGCTGCAGCAATAAACTGGAAGGGGTTGGGGAGGAAAGGGGACAGGGGAAAAGCACTGTCCTTAGGGCCTCTTAATACAAGGACCACAACCTCCATCCCAACTCTGAAGCCCCCAAGGACACCACAGTCTTCCAGCTCAGTGAAATAATAATCTTCAAGATGACCCTGTGCCATTAAGCTGAGGTAAAATTATATTAATTATATTCTGTCTCAAAAGGCAGGGAATAATACACTTGAGAAAGTCTATCATCAAATAGTGAAGAGAAAATTTGGAGCACTTAGAGGCACAAGTTACAGTATTTAATTCATATTGAACTTGAACTCTCCCAAGAACTCACAGAAATAGGATGTGATGATGTTCTTGTAAACATTTTTCTATAGTCTTAGCAAATATTCTTTCAGCCTACTACTTTTTTCCAATCTTACTTGTTTTATGTTATTTTTATTAAAAAAGGATTGCTTTCTTTTTGATAATATTGTGGCAAAAATTGCCAGTACTTTTCTACTGATCACAATATGATTATTTTATATACAAATGACAGGAAATCAGGTCATTGGTTTAAGGAAAGGAGGAGGTGGTGGAAGAGAGGATGAGGAAAGGTAGCACAGGAGGAGGAGGAAGAGAACAAGTCGGCTATGAAGGAAATAAACAAGATGGCATATTGAAAAAAATACAAACAGAACTTCCTTCCTGAATGGTGATCAGTGCCCTTTTCTCTGAGGAGGTAAAACTTAATCTGAGCCCAAAATGACAAAGAGTCAAATGGTAGAAGGCCAAGGAGTAGACACCCACAGGTGGAAAAGTGAACAAGGGCTGTAGGAGGACTGCCTTCCCAGATTTCAGGGCTGTCCTTTTCCCCTCGAGAGGGACAAAGTACACTGGGCTCAATGGGTGGAAACAAGATGAGGATGACCTATCAGTCAGTTGCATGCTCCTGGCAACAGTGACTGGTCCTGGCCATTCTGGGCCAAGGAGACTCTGGGAAGAGGAAAAAATCTCTCCCAGGCTGGTTGATTCACTGCAGAGGTGTGTTTGGGGCCATCAAGTCATTCTGCTGTGTCACAGGGAGAGCTTGCATGAGAATTAAGCCAACAGAGGGGAGAGCAGAGGTGAGTTGGAGACAGCAAACCATTCATGACATGGTCATTGGAGGATCTGAGGTTACCATGCCGAGCTCCATCCATAGAGTTTGTTATGTGACCAGTAAATCTCCTTTTTCAGTTTGAGCCAAATGGGAGTTTGGTTTCTGTCATGTGAGAGTGAAAACACTCTGATGGCCCAGGGGCTTCGGAAGTTATGGAAGAGTTCTTGTGTATTTAGAGGAAGTTGTGCTTTTGGGAGTCTTCTCAACATCTTATTGAAAAGCCCTGGTCTTAGGACATCCATGTGGTAGAGGATTGAGTGAGGGTGAGAGCTGGAGAATTGCTTGTGAAAAACTGGCCACATGTGATGAGGAGGGAGATACAACTCTAGGGATTGGATACTTTCCTTCCCTACCTTTCCCCCATTCTGCCATTTAGGGAGAGGAAAGAAAAATCCCAAATTGATGGACACGGGAGAAGCAAGACTGGCAAAGGAAGAGCTTGCCCAAACCTCTCTGAGATCTACAGGAATTGAGTGCTTGTGGTTTTTCCTGCTCAGAATCTCCTCCCCATTTTAGGCATCACTCCTTGCAATCTGGGTGGATTAACCCCACCTTCCTTTCTGTTGGTCCACATGGTTTAGGTGCAGCTGAAGGGAAATCTAGTGGAGTGGACCGTGTGACCCAGACCTGACCAATTGGTGAGTTCCACCTTCCTGCTGTGGTGCTCTTACAGTAGGCCTGACCAGAACTGATACGGGGACTTGACCATAGGCACTGGCAAAGAAGCACTTGCTTTCAGCTGTATTGTGGGGTCCACATGGAGAAGAGTCACCTGCAGAGAGGAGCACAGAATCAAGTAAATGAGAGACAGGTAGATTGAATGCCTTTGAGCCTTAAATTCAGACATAGGTGAAGTTATATTTACCATTTCAACTCTGTGGTCATATAAGCCAACAAATTCTTCTGTCCCACAGGAGCGAAGTTCCTCTGTTCACTATTTCCAGGCAAAGAATGGGGGCTGAAAAAAAAAACACTGTAAAAAAGGTGTTGAATGAAAGAAATCTCTGATTTCATTTGTAAGGAATAGAAAGATGTGCTAATGTATTTTCCCTAAGACTTTGTAATATGGCTATTTCAATTCTATAACAATCTTAATACTATAATATACCAGATCTGTGACAACCAATGTAGTTTTTGTGGGTTGGCCTACAACCAATTAACCAAACTTTGGAGATATAACTTATCTGTTAGGATTTGCCTGCATTAAAAAAAAAAAAAAATTGAGGAGCACCTGGCTGGTTCAGTCAGTGAAGCCTACAGTTCTTTTTCTCGGTGTTGTGAGTTTGAGCCCCACATTAGGTATAGAGATTACTTAAAAATAAAACCTTAAAAAAAGAAATCATTGAGAAGACTATGTAAATTCTGAATACTATATAATTCTTCCTAACTCCCTTCCACCAAAAATCAATGAGCAGAACCCAAAGTTATAAACTCCTTGCACTGTAGCCAAGATCTCTTCCATTCTTCCCACACATCAGGTATTTATACTTAAAGGGGTGAGAGGCATGCAATATAAAGGACTACTTTTTACCAGTCATAGAAAACGTACACTGAATGTGAGCTTAAGAGATTTTATATTCCATTGAAAATGACAATATAAATTACTTTTTAAATTTGGGAATAATAATATTTTAATGGCAATAGTTTCCTTAACCAGAGTTTAGTATTTGCAATGGAAATCCAAACCTAAGCAAATTTGCTTCTTTGGGAATAATTCTTCAGTGTCAATGGTTTCTACCAATAGAATAATAAACAAACGTAAGCATACTTACCTTAGGAATGAAAGGAGTTATCTTTTAGCAACTCTATATAATTTCTGTAAAATCTCTGGAATTTCCCAAACTATGTTCTTTGGAACCATCAGCAAGTGTTTTACACACACACATACACACAAAATCCTGTGGTCAAATAAGATTGTGAAACACTAAATACTATCCTCAATCCTGAAAACTCTGTGCATATGAGTGTATTTGAGAATGCAAGAAGTCTTGCAGTACGGATACCTGTTCCAATGTGTTTAACATGGCATTTCCCAACATTAAATTCCTCAAAATTAAATAGAGTGTTTTGGTTCCTACCCCAACCTTCAAACCCCAATTCCCCAAAGCAACTTTTGGAACAGCTTGTGGAACTAGTTCCATAAAGCAAAGTTTGGGAAACACTAGTTTAGTGGTTTCTATCTACACAGATTTTGCTGTCTGAATAATATGGAAGGCATTTTGAGTGACAATTGCACCCATTTGGATTTAACTTCAACTGACTCCATAATTAGAAATTTAAAATGCAAATTTTTCAAAAGCAAACTGCCTTTACCATTTAGAAATGTTGCTGAGACTTACTTGGATTTACGTACAGTTCTATTACTTTCCAGTATATCTGGTATAGGTAATAGGCTCCAAAGACCTATAAATATTGAACACAAATAAGATTAGCCATGTCTAAATCTTATCTATAAACAAGGGCTTGACAATTTTAATATGGCAAATGTACTCTCTTTTTTTTCTTTTTTATTTCTTTTTGGTACATGCCTCTTGGGAAGACTGGGAATGGAATGGAAGCTTTTTCATTTATATTCCGCACAAGATGTATATTATGGATTCATGTTAGTATGGGTGAGGACATGAAGCCATTGCTATTGAGCCTCAGATGTGGCAGCAAAGAATTAAGAGATCATCACCATCTCTCACTAAATATAATGAAAATCTAACTTTACAACACTCCTCTTAAACGAGCTTGCCTCATGCTACTTGGCTATGCATTAAATCTTGGCATACACAAAAAATAAAAACAGGGTAGTTCTAAAGGGTTCATTTATGTTGGCTGGATTATGAAGATTAACTCCTCAGATGGTGTTCCAAAGAAGTCATCAAATGTAAGTATAATTGAAAATAAAAACCTGAAAACCATTTAAATATTGATAGGAAAGTGAACAGACAGGATATAGTCAAGACATCATTCTTTGGATACATAACATCAGTATATATCATAAAGGATTAAAAAGTTTAATTCTCTAGGGAATATAATGGAGATCTCAACTTCAGTAAAGCACATTTCCTGGGAATAATATAGCTTAATTATTCTCATGGCAGAGGCACCCATGCAGATTATACACACTTAATACAATTTAAATTTTAGGTCATTTGTGCTAAAAATGTTCTTAAAACTTGTAAGTTGGGTTTATTATTCTCTAAAATAGTCTAACCCTGGGTCCTAGATACAGTGTGGTCCTCTTCTCAGAAGTACTCTGTGGCTTGTCACCTTGCCAGTCCACACAAATATTAGCTCTGTGCTAAAATGCAACGTTTCTCAAACAGTATATGCCACTGTTGATACACGCGATGATTTTAGGTAGTTCAGGGATGGTGTTCCATTCTAATAATGGAGGGGATTATGATAATATAAATGCATCTGCCATTTACTGAGCATTTACTATGTGCTGCCAAGCAAAAATTGTATTTGAATAAACTTCACAAGTCTACCACATGGTAGCTGCTATTACGATCACCAAAGAACAGAAAGGAAAATGAAGCACTGAGAGGCTAGGTAACTTGCTCAAAATTACATAGCTGGAAATGGGCAGAGACAAGATTCAGCTTCAGGAGATTTAGCTGTCAGTCCATGTTTTGTCACTTTGTGGATATATTTATCTGTTAAGTGGGTTCACTTAATACAAAATTTAATACATGTAAGTCTGTGAATATGAAATAAAGTCACATAAGCTGTAGGCAAATGTGTGATGTTTGGGTAACCATGCTATAGCATATTGATGTGTTTTATTGTTTTCTTTTGGCAGGGCGAAGCTCAAGATTAAGGATCCTTAGAGATTGTGAAGTGAAGGTGAATAGGCAAATGACAGGTCAGGTACGGTTCAGCTGCAGACCTGCTGAGATGAGTAGCTCCAACCTTCGGCTTACCTGCTTTCAGTGTTGCCCAGAGAACTTCTTGTTGACATAGAAAATCTTCCTACTTTTACACGTTTTTAAGGCATCACATAATCACATTTCTATGGGAAAGATAAATAATTCAAATAACTCTGAAAAAGAAAGGGCTTGATTATTGTATATTACAATTTAAGGGGAAAAATATCAAATTTAACAAAAAGCTGACAATCAGAACAGAAGCATTACAGAAGTTTCTTGCTCATTTTCTCCAGAGGTTAAACCAGAATATTTTTTAAAGAGGGCATAAGTTTAAGGTCTAGCTAGGGAATAAAGACATGTTTTGTCTGACACTTCCCAAGTCAAATCCAACATTTATCAAATGATTCTTAAGTGCTGTATTTAAAAAAAAAAAAAAATACAGCCAGGAGCTGGCAACCTGGGTATATTAAGCTTTCATTATTGTAAATTTGTATTTTAAAAACCCAATGTCTTTTTTCGTAAATATGCAAGGGCTTCTCTGACAATTTCTCTTCTTGTAAAGCCACCTCTCACTTAAACATGTTAAATAAAACTCCTATATCTAAAATGATTCTTGGCATCTGGGAGTTTAAAATCTCCCCCAAATTCAGAGGGGAAAAAAAGCTGTATAATTATAGTTCATCTGAGTGTAAGTCATAATCAAAAATTTTTTAAAACCAAAAAGTAATATCTGAGAATGGCATTTAAAACAAAAAAAGTACTTACTGGCATTTAAAATTTTTTTTCATGCAATTTGTTATTCGTTAAATCAGAAGAAAATGTGCGGTACCATTTTTGATAAGGCAAACAATATTCAGAATTGTCATTAACTAAAAACAATTGGCCACCACTATGTGAAAAACCAATGCTTTAATGAGGCTATCAAGAACAACAGTTCAATTATTTCATTGGATACATTAATATTGATCCATAATATACAGTGCTATGGACCATACAGAAATTATTGCTGCATCCAACAGCAGGTGACTATATTATTAACATTACAGTACCAAGCGTCCGCAAGAGACAGTCATTTGTCACTTTTTTTTCAAGAAATAGGGTTTTTTAATATACTGTTATCAACACCAACTTTTCCCCAGTGCATTTTTAAAAAATATTAATAAGTGCATTCCTTTGTGCTTTATTTTATATCTCTTAACTTCCTATGTATTTTATTTGTTCTTATTGCTTTATTATTTAAAAACAACCAGAAAGAACTTTGTCATCCTATGTATGACCAGGTTGGTTGTAGGGTTTTTGGCAAAGTCAAAAGGTTTGGTATTTCCATTGCCTTATCCGGAGGCAGGTGGACAAGTTTGGCATTTTGGTCACTCCATACGGAGGCCCAACCCCGAGTCACAAGTCTGCTCTCAGGGATGCGGGGAGTGGTGTGGATCATTCTTTCATTGTCACAAACAGCGACCCCAAACCACCGCTCTTGGCTTAACTAGTCCCTAAAACAAATCCACACTCGATTTGGCAAAAAAGAAATAAATAAAACCACCCCCGAGGATGCAGCATTCTCCTGGGCCTCCTCACCCGCCACTCCCAGAAATTGTCTCTTAAGAAGAAGGGGATGGGGAAGCAGGTGACAGTGAGCTCAGGAGTTGCGAAAGTCAGGACAGTGGTACAAGATGCCATGCTTCCTCTCAACGGAGCTTTCTATAAGGTCACTTAGCCCTGGCCATATTCCCTGGGCCAGGGGCTAGTCAACCTTGCTCCATTTTTAAGAACTCTCACAATCAGCTAAAGTAAACAAGCATCACACCATCGCGATCTTTGACTTGTGCAACCAGCTCCCCTCCCCCCATATAAATATGAAGAGAAAAGTAGACAATGCTATGATTGTATCAATGAACACTATGGTACAGTTAGCTGTTCATGCAGATTTGCATCACTATACTAGGAAAAGAGCTATACAATTAAGGGGATTGAAAGAATGGGAATTAATTTTCCCTACCCCCTTCAGTAATAAAGCTATAAAACTGATAGCATCATCAGTGTTTCCAAGGATTCTCATTGCCCAATGTGCATGGGAACTATGCAGTTGATTATTTTCACGGAAGCCATCCATTCATACATCTGACAATCACACCTTCTTTTTGAACCCTCCAATACCCATCCACCAATTCGTATTTGACATTTAAACTCATTTTCTTTTTTTTAAAAAAAAACCCTCCTGAATAAGATTTCCTGATGAAAGAAGTTGGCACTCTGTCACTAAAATATATTTAATATTAAAAATATCTGAAGGAAAATTGGAAGCTCTTATATTGTCTACATAGGCACCATGCTCCATGTTCCTCTTGACTATAGATACCATCTTGAAACTGTCTCCTATATTATGGTTCAGTCAGTGCTAGTCCAAAAAAGACTACTGCTATATTTAAGGCACTTCATTCTGAATGGATATGCTTTATGCCACTTGCTATTCAATTGTAGGCTGCTACTGAGGAATTCCATTCAACAGCCTGGCTCTTAACACCATATGTCAGCTGTATAAAACAGGTAGGCCAGATAGATTACATGTAACACTACTGTTATTGCAAAGGACTACACAAGTAGATAATGCACTGAAACTAACTTACAACTTTGCTGCTTGTTAAAACACTGTTATCAAGTAACAGTAATTTGCCAATACAGTATTTCTCTCCTTCCAAAACTTCAGCAAGTTTGCTGAAATAAACCCTAATTTAAATGACCATAATGGGCGTATTAACGCTATGGTTATCAGTCTCCAAGAATATTGCTACTTTTATATGACTAAAAATAAATATGTAAGTTTATTCTCTCTAGAAAGCCAGTTTTAACCTATTAATACTACACCTTAAATGTGTGGAAAAAACAGTTCCGAATGAGACTGTAATATACAAAATATTCGCAAAGCTCTCTTTAAACACAAGACCTTGCATAAAAGTTTTCTTTCATGTGTGTACAAAGAATGCGGAAAACCACCAGTGAGTTGTAAAAATATTGAAAACTTGCCATTTTAAGATGCATATTCTTACAAATTAATACAAACATACTGAAAAGAACGATGATAATAAAGAATCTGTACAAATCAAACAAACAGTAAAACATAATTTAAAAATAAAAATAGGAAAGCCAATTAGAAACGTGCCCAGTTTGGTTTTATCAAAAGTGAAATTGAAGAGAAGAAAAAAAAAAGGACAACTTTCAGTGCTCCTCAATATTTTACTTTGAGAGGACACTCATTTCCTTTTCAAAATAAAATGTATCTTATGGAAAATTGAATCACACTCATCGATGAGGAAAATTGTAACAGAGCACAGAGTGAAGGACAGCAAGATTAGAGCCCATGTTTCAGAGCCTAGGTCTCTAACCCTCTTCAATTTCACTTGCACCTAAGGAAGGGATCAGTTACATTTTCTAACCAGACAATCCTCATGAAATTGGGTGCACTTTTTTTTTGTCTTTTACAGAATATTGTATTGCCTTAAATAGTTTGCAGTAGAAAGACTAAATGCTGTTAGAATGGTACTGGAACTTTAAGGCAGTACCAAGGAATCAATACATTTACAAAATAAAAAAAGGGTTAGCGTGGATTTCTTCCTTTCTTTCCTCAATCTCTTTCTTTTTGCTTTTTTTTTTCTTTTTGGTTGCTTTACATTCTTTCGATTAAACTTTACATTTAATTTCCAAAGATGCCACAGACATAAAAATCTCAAACCAAGTTTCCCCTGAATAAAAATGGACAGAAATTTCTCTGATGCAAAAATCCTCTTGCTTAGAAAGCTAAAGTCCAGGGTGAATTCAGTTCACAGATACTGTACACGTATGGTACAAGACTTTGGAGGCATTTGTAGTTGTAAAATAGAATATACAAGTCTGTTTCACAAAATTCTAAAAATAAAATATATCCTGGGCTATTGGTAAAGCATGAAAAAAAATTTCATATTAAAGGAAAATTATCAAGAAAACCCCTTCAGGTAAATTATGAAACCTACGAATCAAGAAAGGAAGCAGTTTTTGAAAGCGCAGAGCAGGGAGGGCCTGCTAACAAGCATGATCGGTTTCTTCCATGCTCATGCTGCTCCTTCGGCTGCTTGTTTTGGAAGCTCCAGGGGACACTGATGAAAGGAGTGGGTCAGTTACACCAACAGGAGAAAGAGTGTCATCCATCAGGATGTCTTCCAGTTTGGATCCCATTTTCGTGGGGACGCTATAGGCTTGGCTACTCTCGGTCCCTGCTCCAAGGTTGTTGTTGAAGGTGATGCTGCCGTCTGTGAGATCAAGCGTCGTCGTACAAGGTAGGTCTGCATGATGCTGAAGGAGGTCTTGGTTGCAGTTCTCAAGAGTGGGTTCCTGCTTGATGATCCGATTCACCAAGTCTGGAGAGCAGAGGCCCGTGGATGGAATAAGTGAAAGTCCATGAGCTCGAGCCTGCATTTCAAGTTCCTAATATAAAAGTAAAAAAAAAAAAAAATCACGTTTCAAGAGGTGGTTTACAGAGGATTTTAGGGCAAAGTACTATATTTGATATACTATAATGACGCATACATGTTATTACATATTTGTTCAGACTCACAGGAGGTGTAACACCAAAAGTGAGCTCTGTAAAGTAGGGACTTTGGGTAATGATGTTGTGCGGTGCAGGTGCATCAGCTATAGCAAATATACCACTGTGGTGGGGAATGTTGACAGCACTGGAGGCTGTACAGGTGGGAGAGCAGGGAATATATGGAGATTCTCTCTACCTTTTCCTCAATTTTGCTATAAATCTAAAACTTCTCTAAAAAGTAACGTATTAAAAAAATCACTTAGAGGAAAAAAATCATAAATTGTTAAAATAATTTTTTAATCTTTTAATTAATAAGTATTATTTCTTAAAGTACAGGAACCACTGGTAGTACATGACTTGACTTTGGTGCTATATGGATTTCATTATGTATTAAATATAAAGACACTCTCTCCCAGATGTCACTATTCATGAAGATAAATTTTAAAAATACAGAAATAAAAGTAAATATAAAAATAGAATTTCAAAATGTGAGCTGATTAAAGGAAAATGTTCAGTAAGTAACACCGTTTGGGGGTCTCTCCACTATGCACACATATTGAGGGGTGCTACAGGGAACTCTCAGG